GCTGTTGTGCTTCTTTATGAGTTGCTTTTCAGTTGTACTTGGTTTGTATCTCAACCATCAAAATTTAGTCCTTACATTGTTGTATAGCCTGCAATTTCGTACTATCTTATCTACAATAATTCATCAGGACAGGAGACATGAAACCTAGAACTGAATTTTCATGTTGCATCTTATGGTTTGTTCTGAATTTTGATTGATGCAAACTTGCCTAAATGTAGAATCCTAAAATGGTCAAAATTGTTTGTATTGTGCAAAATAGGATTTAGCAGTCTGCAGTCCTTATATGTACAAATCAATTAGTAGTTATAGATATTTAACAATTTGATCTCTGAATATTTAGCCCATGGGAAAAATATAAATGTCTTTAAAAATCTCAATTAATTGTAGAGATTGAGAAGGGGTTCAGTGTACCACTAATCTTAAGCTAACACATTCAATTGGTTGCAGAGATAATTGGCAACATGAGTATCTGGAATGATTGCCCTCAACTTAAATAGCTTCAGGCTAAAACTGATTAATATTCTTTCCTTTAGTACTTTGCACTTTTGCATCTAATTTTGAAATATGGAAAGATTATTCAAGTATGCATATTTAGAATAATTTTGCAAAGATTTTTTGGTGGTCTCAATGTTCAGAGCATTTGGAACTCTGAATATCCAGTGTGTAATGAATATACGATGTTGTGTTGAAGTGGCCGCTTCATAATAATGGAGTCATTTGTTTTATTGCAACTTACAGTTGGAGGTGACTATTTATCAAAGTTCAGAGTGTATTTATTTCTTTGCTTTGGATATTCAGAAATTCACAGAGGTTCAGTACTTCAGTCCGTGTGCTCTATCAGAGGTTGTAGACGGTAGTTCTAGATATTACATCACGGCAACCATATAGCAACATAGATCCAAATTGCAATAGTCAAAGTGGTATAAATATGCATGTGTTGGATTAAATGTTATCCATCAATAAGATGAATCTCTCTGAACACACTGACTGCTTGATACTATCTCACTGAATTGTTTATAATCTCTGAATCTTATCGGTGTCCTTGTGGGATCAGTTGTATTTTAATCTCTTATTAAATCATTGGGCTGATAGGAAGCCAGGATCAGATTTGAAATTGTCACGCATATTGATTTGAAAAATATTAAACGTGTTAGCATCAAGAATCTTTAAAATTCAGTTTTTTTCTTGAATTTTCCATTGACAGTTCATGTATGTACTCTGAACATTTCAAAAGTTTCATTGAGCAGTGCCATCCCGTAAATTTCATTGAGCACTAACATGTAATTTTGAATTTATTCTCATTGTTCATGTTTCAAGGATCCTCGTATAATATTGATAATTGACTCCAAACGGAATATTAGAAACATCATGCTTGAAGGATCGTTTTTTGGATAATGGTACAACATGTGCTAATATTTACATTATCGTGGTATTATTTTTTCCCGTTGTAATGTACGGACATATATACTCGAACCTATATACAGGATGGTATGGAGATGCAGCGAAACTTATTCGTGGATTTATTAGCGTACGAAATAAATGGATATTGGAGATTTCTTCTTGCCGATATAAAACATTATCTTAGCCGCATCACAGAAAAGGTCTATACAGTAGAGTTTGTGAGCCTGTGACGCCGCGCTCTCTGGGACTGTGTTAATGTCACAAACTTTGCTTTTTAGATTAAAAGTCACTTTAACGTTGCTATTTAATTTTACAGTATTGTTATCTTATCGTACGATCCGTGTGTTTTTAATACAAAAGTTTAGCTGTCCTGTAGCAACGCACGGGCACGATATATCATGTATGCTAGCCACTTGTCTAACTTATTGTATGTACAAAATATACCTATAGAGAAATCACCAATGGCCATAAGCAAAGTACAAAAGGAACCCACCAGCTGGTGCTGGTGTCACAGTTCTTCAAACCTGTACTGTACGTGTGTGAAAAGGTTACAATTGAGAGGGAGAGGTGTAGGGATCGTGGCCACTTGAGCTAACCTGTTTATTAGGTGCAACTTAATTTGTGTTTCGTAATCAGTGGCGGATCCAGGATTCAGTCACGACTAGGACCAAATTCTAAAGGCAAAATACCAAACGCTACACCATAGTCTATATGACTATATATATATATATATATGTGTGTGTGTGTGTGTGTTATACTGGTCGAGAGTAATATGATGCTAAAGTTCTAGTCCTCTTCATCTTCTAAATAAATTAAAAAATCTATAAAATTATATTCTAATTGGAATCAAAAGTTCAAACCCTACATAGAAATGACAAAATTGAAATTGTAAAGAATCAAAATCAGCAAAGAATTGAAATAAAGAGAAGAAATCCATTCACTCTTCCTATTCCAGAGTTCCTGCTCTGCCAGTGCGGGGCTCCGGCCGGCGAGCAACGGCGCAACGAAATTAGAAACTGGAAATTTGGGATCAAAATCAGTTTCAGGTCTAAATCTAACAAGGGAAGCTTGCTTAGTTGCTCTACTCGCATGCAAGGAAGGAGCCGGGCAGCCAGCAACGTCGTAGCGGGCAGTGGCCGGCCGGCCGGCGCCGCCGCGCCGGGCTGAGGAAGGAGCTACGCCGGCGGCGCCGCAAAGCACAGAGCGGAGGGGGCGAGGCCATGAAACCGGAGCGCGGAGCGGAGGGCTGGAGGGGGTGACGGGCGACGGCGGCGGGTGGTGCAGCGTGTGCGATGGGTGGCGGTGGCAGTCATGAGTCTCGCGAAGCGAGCAAGCTACGGAGCGAGAAGGCAAGCCCCGAGCGGCTCTAGTGCTCTGTTGCCCTACTCCGTTGCCTGGCCTGCTTGTGTTGGGCTGCTTGATGGGCCAAAAACTGAAGACCTGTTCTCTTATTACATGGGCCACGACTAGGGCCATGACCTAGGCTGCCCTAGTGCTGAGTCGGCCCATGTTGGTAATCATACCAACACAAGTTTGAAATGGAAGATGGGATAGCAAGTTAGGTACAATGAACCATATTATGGTCGAGAAACGTGTGCCTGTCTTGAGTGGCTTTTGGGCTGACGTCAGTGTAAAATGCTTCTCTAATGGGCTCTAGCCCATTCTTTTGGTCCTTTAGCCCTGTTCGGCTTGTTGAAACTTGGCTGAATTAGTTTTTTTTTGTGAATTGACCTGGCTGAATTAGTTGAAAAGCATTGTTCTGGCTCTGGCTGAATTGTTGTGAGAGAAAAACATTATTTCGGCTAAAAAATCAAGCTAAATAGTGTGGATCATAAGGTAAGCCGAACGGGGCCATTTGTCTTTTTTGGCTATGCTCGCTGCAGTTTTTCAGGCTGCAAGAAAACAACTGCAATCTACTATAGCAACCGCTACAAACCCCGCCACACTGCAGCAAGCTACTTCTTTCTAGATAGTATCTTATTTTCAATCCCTTTTCAGTCGATAGCATCCTTTTGTGACAATATAAACTGAAAAAAATCACTTTAAGCAAAAGCTCATACATACGGCAGAACACCGTAAATCACGTTACCATAAAATTGCTGTATCCCTGTCCCAGTCATGGTGCACTAGAACTAACTGTAACCGAACCCTCAAAAGTTAGTTACTGCTAAAGGAGGGTTTTTGGAAATTAGAGGATTTTATTTTAACTGTTTTTGTGATGATTTAAGTTGAACTTTACTTAAATTTCAAAGTCCTTACACTTGTTGCCTACGCCAAGTGCCCACCAGCTTGGTGGACGACGTGAGTTGGTCAAGGATTTTTTTTAAAACGATTAGTCAAACAATAGTAATATTTAATTTAGAATATAGTTAATGTGACATGTAAAAATACGGAGGAAGTATCCGCGAGGGAAAGATGAAAACAACCCCAGTGGTAGTGAAATAGAACGTGAAAAAAAATTCGTGGGTATTTGTGATTGGCACGATATGATGATGCTCCGTCGATTCCGAGTTTGACCAGGTAAGGCTTGGTGGCTCGGTACATGGGTACATTGCACTCCGTCACGTTAGCTGCTGCTCCTGGGTACACGCGCCTGTTCCTGGAGCGTGTCCGCGAGACCGGAAAAAACAAATGGGTGAAGAACCGCGTGCTGTGCCCGTCATTCATATGAGATCGAGCACGTAGCAACAGGAGTAGGCCTGTTCAGCTTACTCCATATTCAGCATGTTTGACTTCTTTTTTTAGTCGAAACAGTATTTTTCTCCCATAATAATTTAGTCGAACTGTGTTTTTCAACCCGTTTCAGTCAAGTTTTATACCAGCGAACGAGGTTGCACGTGCTGTGGCCCTCTGCACGACACGAAGGAATCATTGCATGTACAGTATCATGTACCGCATTGCGCAGTGCAGCGCAGCTCCATCGTACTGAGCAATGAACACAGCATGCCCTGTCGGGCGCTGTCCCACACCTCTGTGGATCAGACCCAGGGGCACGCCCTCTTCTTCGTCGCTTTCCAGACAGTGGCGAAACCCTGTAGGCCCTGTAGTACCAGCAATACAGTGCGCAGTCCAGCTGGACCCGGTTCACAAAACAAGGCGCATTCCTTCAGTTGCCCCGTGAAACTTCCGGCGGCCGGCCATCGACGTTTGGGAATTGGGACGGGACATCCGGTCGAGCTAGCACCGCGTACCCAACACACCCAGGACCCAGCGAACCAGCCGAAAAATGTTTAAACTTTTCGAATTTTGGCCCTGGGTTTTGCAAATCCCTGGCCCCTTGTGCAGCAGTCGTGCTCCTGCCTCCGCCACCTACTACGCCACACGGCCCACACAGCCTTCACTCTCCATCGTCCATGCGCCAGCCTCACTCAGCAGCCGCAGCGTTGCATTGCATGCATGCAGCTGGATCCAGCTCCCACCTCCCATCCCATCGGTGCCAGTTGCCAGCCAACCCTTCCTGCCACTGTCATCCTGCCTCCCACCACTCCGAGCCCTCCTTTAATACTCCACCTCTCCTTGCTCTCACTTCACTCACGGTCGGAATGAGCGTTCACACAGACACGACCACGCAGTAAACACGCGCGCTCAAACAGTTCGAAATGGCGCTCGCCGCCGCCATCGTCGTCCTCTTGCTTCCAGGCATTCTCACCTCGGCGATGGCGGCCACGCCGTACCCTCACGGGCGCGGCGGCGACCCGCTCGTGGGCGCATCGAAGAAGTACGAGGGCAGCTCCGACCTGGTGGACCTCCGCTACCACATGGGCCCCGTCCTCTCCGCCGCGCCGCTCCGCCTCTACGTGCTCTGGTACGGGCGCTGGGACCCCGCGCACCAGGCCCCCGTCCGCGACTTCCTCCTCTCCCTCTCCGACCCGTCCCCGCCGCGGCCCTCCGTCGCCGACTGGTGGGCCACCGCCGCGCTCTACGCCGACCAGACCCTCGCCAACGTCACCCGCCGCGTCGCGCTGGCCGGGGAGGCCGCCGACGAGTCGGCCTCGCTGGGCCGCTCGCTCTCCCGCCTCGACATCCAGCGCGTGCTCGCCTCCGCGGTCGCCGCGGACCGCCTCCCCGCCGACGCCCGCAGCGGCGCCTACCTCGTGCTCACGGCGCCCGGCGTCGGCGTCCAGGACTTCTGCCGCGCCGTCTGCGGCTTCCACTACTTCACCTTCCCGTCGCTCGTGGGCCACACGCTGCCCTACGCGTGGGTCGGCCACAGCGGCGGCCGCTGCGCCGACGTCTGCGCGTACCCGTTCGCGCTGCCTTCGTACATGTCCCGGAGCGGCATGGCGGCGCTGAGGCCGCCCAACGGCGACGCGGGCGTCGACGGCATGGTCAGCGTCATCGCGCACGAGCTGGCCGAGCTCGCCACGAACCCGCTCGTCAACGCGTGGTACGCCGGGGAGGACCCCACGGCGCCCACCGAGATCGCCGACCTGTGCGAGGGGGTGTACGGGACGGGCGGCGGCGGCGGGTACGCCGGGAAGGTAGCGGTGGACGCGCAGGGGAGGAGCTGGAATGTGAACGGAAGGAAGGGGAGGAAGTTCCTGGTGCAGTGGCTGTGGAGCCCAGAGGCTAAGGCCTGCGTAGGGCCCAATGCCAGTGACTAGGCTTGTTGGCCACTGCTTGCTAGCATGTACTACCACCGTACTATTAGTATTAGTGGTAGTATATTATTGTATTCTTGGGGATTTGTATCTTCTTATTTTTTGGTTTATATATAAAGCTATTTATATGAGAAAAAGTTCGTTTTACCTCTCTCAACAATAGCAAATTTCATCTTTTTTTTCCCTCAACTACAAAATCGGACGCAACTCCTTCATCTTCCACAACCGGACACGTGCTGTTTCCCTCAGCGGGTCTTTTCTATTTCTTTATATTTATTTTGGCTAAATCTTTACAGAATCATAGTAAAGCAGAAAAAAATTATAAAATAGAAAATTCAATTTTGTTAGATGAGTAAGTCTACAGTGAACATACGATATAATATGCTTTAGTATAAAGTTTTTGCTATAGTTTTAGATTTATGGTTTTCTATAATTAATTCATAACTACAATTTCTATGATTCAATTATGCTGAAATTTTCATGGCGGGATAATCATTGCATGGGCTTAAGCTGCGGTAAACATTCATACTTATTGGATCATGTATGACTGAATTATAGATTTATGTAGATCGTTTATGATTGTTAAATAGTTCTTAAATAGCTAAAATTGTATAAAAATAGAAAAATGTGTGTTTTCTATGTAATGTTACTGTTGTTATATCTTATCAACACTTAACATAACCATGTTGTTACAGAGAACATTACAAAAAATGCACATTCTCTATTTTTACACACTTTTAACTATTTAAAAACTATTTAATAAGCATAAACCTAAACAAATCTATAACTCAGTCAGACATGATCTAATGATCATGAAATGTTCACTATAGCTCAAGCATGCAATGATTAGTCCATCATAAAAATTTATCACAATTGGACCACAGAAAACAGCAACTACGAAATAATTACAAAAAACATAAAAATAAAGCTGTAACAAAAACTTTATACTGAAGCATATCATATCGTATGTTTACTGTGTAGATCTATTCATATGGAGTCCAAAAAAATTAGCTTTTCTATTTTATGAATTTTCCGTGATTTACTTTGATTCTTTAAAGATTCAACCAAATAAATATAAAAGAAAAAGACCAAAACAACCGCGGGAAACAACCATGGGTCACATTTCTGGTTTGGGAGATGAGGAAGGAGCTGTGTCTGATTTTGTAGTTGAAGCAGAAAAAACTGATTTTTTGTGATAGTTACAGGACGCAAAATGGACTTTTTGCTTATATGTGTTAGCCGTATTCGGGAGTGGTCAACAAAGTTCAGCATCTTCAGCCGAGCATTGACCAAGCCTTTTTAGCTGAGGTGCAGTAGAGCCAAGAACATGAAACGGTAGAGCCAAGAGTAAAGATGGCAACGGGGAATTCCCCATCGGGGGTTGCTTTCCCATCCCCATCCCCGTGAATGGTCACGGGTGACGTCTCCTCCCCGTCCCCGGGGAATTTGTCCTTGACGGTGCCCCCGTCCCCACGTCGTTCCTTGAGAGCTCGATAGGACCATGCACGGACGCCAGCGCCGACAGCGTGGGGAGCCAGTGAGACACACACGAAGGCCACAGTGTAACACCCTCGGTGTTACATCCTAAATCATTTACTAAAACATATCATGAGCATCATGTTTATGTGTTACTACATATGATAGAATGTGTAGATAAATTTCTTGTAACTTAAAATGATCAATAAAAATACTAAATGAAAGTTGATTCAATAGCTCATGTATGTCAAGTAGGATTGAAAACTAATTTTTATTAAGCAAAAATACTATAGAACATATGTGTGATATTTAAATAAAGTTTGAAGTGCAAACTTTGTAGATGACAGTGAAATACTTGCTGTCAAAAAATGATATTACAAGCTAATATTTCTACTAGCCTAGAAATTGCAAATTAAAATCAAGTTCAGCTCAAAACTTAGAAAAATTTCCAAGTTTGTCAATAGCTAAACATTGCTATGTTTATCAAATTATTTTGAGAGATTGGGTTAAGGGGTAGTGTAGTGTTATAGCTGGATTTGGTAGTCTCATATGTCATCTTGAGTATGGTGAAGATGGTTAAGGTTCAGAAGCAACCGTTTAGTTTTTATAGGCGCTTTAAAATTCATGCACGACACAGTTCGGGCTGGTTGGCCACGTGGGCACGGTCACCACGCTCGGCCGTTCGGCTTCGCCACACTGACTGTCCCGCGCGCACATGCGCTGCCGCGCGTGGCTGGCCACGGCTGCTCTGGCCTGTCTATGGCCTGGCCGCCGCTGGCTCCTGGCGCGCGGAGCCACCGCTGCTGCTGCTTGCGTAGTCGGGCGGTGCTGTAGCCGGCCCCGCCGCACTGCCGCACTGCAACTCGCCCTGTGCCGCGCCGCAGCCGACGCCGATGCTGTCGCCTCGCCGTCATGTCCGTGCCTCCCTCTAAATCCCTGCGCCGCTACCGGCTCAGTGCGATGCCGCCTCTGCCGCGCGCACGTGGCCGGGCTTGCCGTCGCCTTGACATTGATGGCACTGCGGCGCGTGGGCCACGCCGGTCGTGAACGCGCATGCCTGTCTGCTAGTGCCTACACGTGGGCCTCCATGATCACGTCGACCGTGTCCCGCCAAGGCGAGGACGAGCCGAGCCCACCTACCACGCTCCATCTCTCTTTCTCCCTCTGCTGCCGCCATCGAGCCGCGCCATCAAATCACCCTGTGAACGATGACCTCCATTCAATTCAGTGCATCCATGGTTTCCACACCATGTCCTCTCGCTGCCCGACCCTACCCAGTCTTGAACCGTGCAAGGCCAAGCTCCAATTTGGAGTTTCTACCGTCGCCGTGCCGATAAGGCCGCGTTCGGCCGTGGATGTGGGCAACCCTCCTACCGTTCCTCTCGAGCCAATTCACTTGCACCAGTAGCTTCACCTTACCTCCCTCTTCACCTTGCACACGTCAGCGGAACCGCTACCGCCTCCCCATCGTCGCTGACGCAACCGTGCCACCGCGGTGCGCCGCTGCACGACTTGGCCACATGTTGCCAGCCCTCCTCCACCATCCCCCACCCCAACCGTTATCTCGGCTAGGTCCATGGTAGTGTACTGATGCTCCCTCGCTAGCCAGTTAGGTTCTTAGGTGCTCTAGATCGCCAGGGCAGCTGCGCCGCCATCGTGGATGATCGCGTGTCGCTGCAGCTCGCTCCAGCGTGTCCCGTCACCCCTCGCCGCCGCTTAGCGTAGCCACCAAGATTGGAGATGGTGATCGGCCCATTAGGTGGGCCCGCGCAGGTCCTAGGCGGCCGGCATAGGCGCCCAGTGCCGCCGCTCGTCGCGCCGCTGTGCACTGAGTTGCCGGAGGTGCGTGCAGGGGAATTCCAGAAAGCCAGGGGGTTAAGTGAGAAGGTTTGAGAAAGGGAAAAATAGTGTTAGTACTTAGTCGTAATCCAGGAGAAGATCAAGGTCCCTTTTACAAAATCGCCAGCGCGCGCGACATTCCCCGCCGCGGGCTGCAGGCCAGCCTCACGTGGGCCGCACCGCGGGTCACCAAACGTGCGCGCTGCGTCGCGTGGGCCACGCGGGAGAATTCGTTTTTTTCATAAGGAAATAGAAATAGTTTTCTAATTTAATTTCTGAGCTGATCTTTGACAATTAATATAAAATCATGTAGGTATCCAAAAATTATAAAATAAATTTTGTTAGGTTCCTAAAATTATGCTCTATCTGTTAGTGTATTTAGTTCATATATATACATGTTGATACCAGGAGCTATTAAATCATTTGGGAGTGCTTAATATTATTAGGTTAAATATTATAGGAAAATTTTGTGGTAAATTGGTGATAGCTTTAGTCCTAAAATTTTTATAGTAGCTTAATTATATTATTATGTGCTCACTATAATTTTTGTAGCTTTAGAATAGATTAAGCATTAGGATAGTTAAATGCTCTTTGTTTCAATATACATTAAATCATTAGTAGAAATAAAGATATACCCTTCATTTGTAAAGCTAGGTGTTTATAGTTAAATCCAACATCTTGCTTGATGAAAATGATAGTTAGCTTAGTATCTTAGTCATTAGAGCTAGCTTAGTAACTTAGTATGTGTATTTTTATTTTAATAGTTACTATTGCATAAATGCTAAGTGTTGCATCATCATCGCATGCATGTAGAGAACGAGTTGGCGGAGATCGTGACCACCGGTGATCACGAGTTTGAGGAGATCGTCGAGGAGTATAAGGAGGAAATTCTCGTACAGAAGGAGGTTCCGAAGCCACCACTGACTGACTCAGCTGACACCACGCCTGCCTAAGGCAATCCTCGGTGCATAACCCTTATTTTTTATAACCACTTAATATATATATGTGATGTGCATTTACGTTATAGGAATTTTATGGAAACCACATGCATAAATATATCTGTCCTATGAGTCCTACTAGTACAGGTTCGAGTAGCTACTATGCTTAGGTTTTCGGTAGCGTGAGTAACCTGTTGTTACTCACAATAGGTGATTATTATAATTACTCTCATGATAAAATGATGAAATGAAAAATAAAGACATGGTAGGGATATGGTATGGGTATTGGTGGAGGTAATAGGTTGTGTGCCGCGACCAACGGGGCTTAGCTTGATTACACTATTTTTTTTGTCCGTGTCGATTAAGGACCGTTCGTTTTTGTGGATGGTAGTCAGGTCATAGACTTATTATCCTGAGCATATACTTGCTTATGGGAGCGAGAAGGCTCGTTACACTCTTGTTGTGGGTTTCGGCTCTTTCCGGACCGACTGATTGGAGATAAGGAAAGGTGGAGGTATCAGCATCATATTGAGACCAGGTCTCAAGTGTGGGGGCTTAGAGTTCAAGTCTGGATGGGGACCTAGACCTCGTGACAGGAGTGGAATGGGTTGATCTTGTTTGTGCCTGGGGTACAAACGGGGCATGTGTTTCGGGGTACCCAGCTAGGATACATTGGTTCACGAATCGTCGTTTCCGTGAGACGGTACGACTTGGCTATGATCTAGCACCATAGTAAGAACTAAAAGATGA